AACTCATTCGGGAGTGGTGACTTTCCACGTATTCCCAACTTCTGAGCCTGCTCGCCTGAAGTTATGGTTGATTGCTCTTCGGCTGGATATCAACACACCCTTTAACGTAAACTACGCCAGAGCGCGTACACACCTCACGCACCGGACGCCGTGTGCGCGCTCAGAGACTGTTGGACATAGTGGTGTATTAGAGGTAAAAAATGATATAAATACTGTTGGGTTTCTGGCACAAACCGATTGTTTCGTGTCTTAGGACATCAATGTGTCGTCACGAGCCGCAGGGTTTAATTTGGATTTGTCTGTGCATGTTTTTTTTTTACTCTCATAGATTTTGTTACCATTACCATGCATTATAAGACTGACAGACTGCAACGGCTGGAGTTAAAAATCTCAGTTTGTGTTCTACTGAAGAAACAAAGTCACCTACATCTTGGATGTCCTGGGGGTAAGCAGATAAACATCACATTGTTCATTTTTTATCCCTTTAACTTGCCTCCACAGTTGACCACATTAAACAGAGGGATGTGAATCACGGTTGGAGCGTTTTGGCCTTTGAACACATAGAAGTCCTTTGGTTTCTCCAGGTCTTCACTGGGAATGTTGACTTCAGGGAAAGAGATGTTTAGTTTCTTGAACCTATCAGCAGCTTCTCTCACTGTCTGCAGTGGAAACGCAACAGAATTAATTTATTGAAAGGATTAGACAGAGATTTCAGTTGAAATTTGACTTGTTATTGACTGAAATCATGAGGCTGAGATGAATGGGAATGCTAGCGGATGCTCTCTCCAGGTGTTTTAAATAAATACCAGTTAAAATGAAAACGTATGCACTTTTGTTTAAAGGGTTCATGTGAACTGAGAAACCAAAATTCTCTTGATCATTTGACACATAAGGGATCATTGTAATATAAAAACATCCTGTAAGTTTCAGAACGCAAAACTTTGTCATTAGTCTAAAAACAGCTTTTATTGAAGGCAGTCTGACAAGCTTGTGGAATGTTCTACTCTATGATGTAATAGTGTGGATAAACCCCGCCCCCGCAGAAGAAGATCAACGCCTGCTTCTACTGTCTACATCACTACCCGTTTAGCTTAGCGGATGCTCTCTCCAGGTGTTTTAAATAAATACCAGTTAAAATGAAAACGTATGCACTTTTGTTTAAAGGGTTCATGTGAACTGAGAAACCAAAATTCTCTTGATCATTTGACACATAAGGGATCATTGTAATATAAAAACATCCTGTAAGTTTCAGAACGCAAAACTTTGTCGTTAGTCTAAAAACAGCTTTTATTGAAGGCAGTCTGACAAGCTTGTGGAATGTTCTACTCTATGATGTAATAGTGTGGATAAACCCCACCCCGCAGAAGAAGATCAACGCCTGCTTCTACTGTCTACATCACTACCCGTTTAGCTCCGCCCACCGGTTCGCACATGTAGTGTTTACGAGAAGCGAACACACTGGTCTACGCAGAAACCAAACGATAAAGATGCTCTGAAGACAACAAGATGCTGTGCAGTGCCAAGATGTAGAAAAACAGAGTTTTCTTTGCATTCCCTCTGATCCCAGCGTTAGGAAAAAGTGGATGAACTTTATTTTTAATGAAGATCCAGATTGTGTAAGAACTTTGTTCACTTCATTTTAACACGGATTCGTTGACAAACAAGGAACAATTCGATAAGAGATTTTCAGAAAGCTGTGCCACCTATATTGGATCCGACAGTAATGTTGCAACACAAGCGTTACACAACTATTAGCCAATCATAGCAGTTTACTTCTGAGTCTAAAATCTGCCACACCTATTCAAACAGAGCGTTCTGATGAGGGGGATAAAAACAGCACAGAAAATAGTATATTACTTCTAAACTAGGATGTTTTTCGATGTAAAAATCTTGATAACATAAGTGGACCTCAGAGAACGGAACAAAATAAAAAACAAAGGCAGTTCATGACCTCTTTAAATAGTTTTCTTTCTTGTTGGTTTTATTGAATGAAATGATGCACCGCATTTGTAATTATCGGTCGATGTTTTTCAAGGTTAGTGTGAACTCTGGTGGTCCAATGAATGAGGATAAGCAGCAAGATTGTTCCCGTTTAGCTCATGTAGTGTTTACGAGAAGCGAACACACTGGTCTACGCAGAAACCAAACGATAAAGATGCTCTGAAGACAACAAGATGCTGTGCAGTGCCAAGATGTAGAAAAACAGAGTTTTCTTTGCATTCCCTCTGATCCCAGCGTTAGGAAAAAGTGGATGAACTTTATTTTTAATGAAGATCCAGATTGTGTAAGAACTTTGTTCACTTCATTTTAACACGGATTCGTTGACAAACAAGGAACAATTCGATAAGAGATTTTCAGAAAGCTGTGCCACCTATATTGGATCCGACAGTAATGTTGCAACACAAGCGTTACACAACTATTAGCCAATCATAGCAGTTTACTTCTGAGTCTAAAATCTGCCACACCTATTCAAACAGAGCGTTCTGATGAGGGGGATAAAAACAGCACAGAAAATAGTATATTACTTCTAAACTAGGATGTTTTTCGATGTAAAAATCTTGATAACATAAGTGGACCTCAGAGAACGGAACAAAATAAAAAACAAAGGCAGTTCATGACCTCTTTAAATAGTTTTCTTTCTTGTTGGTTTTATTGAATGAAATGATGCACCGCATTTGTAATTATCGGTCGATGTTTTTCAAGGTTAGTGTGAACTAACCAGTGAATGAGGATAAGCAGCAAGATTGTTTAAAAAAAAAAAAAATACAAATAAAAAAATCTTGTTTTGTTTTCGGTAACACTTTATTTCAATAGTCCACTTTAGACATACAGTAAGTAACTTTGCAACTACATGTCAACTAGCAGTTAGTAAAGTATTAGTAAACTGTCTGCTTAATATCTTCTAACACTTTCTTTGTCAACTTTCTACTAACCCTAAACCTACCCTAAAGGTCTACACTGAGAGTTAGTAGACATGTAGTTGCAAATTAATGAGAATTAGTTGACATGTAGTTACAAAGTTACTTGTAGTTAGTAGAATGTCTAAAGTGGACTATCGAAATAAAGTGTAACCTTGTTTTCTACTGAACAAAGAGAGAAATACAGGTTTGGAATGACAGGAGGGGGAGTGAACAATGATTGCTAGGTGATCTGTGTCTTAAAAATGCGTGCTATACCATGAAAGGATCGCCTTCACTGAAATCCAGGGAAATGATGAGGTCGATGTCTCGTTCTTTTCTCAGCACTGAGAAGTAGGGTGAGTTCAGCAGCAGCCCTGCATCTTCAAAGTCTCTCGTCTCACTTCGCAGAAGAGCGGAAGGCACGGATTCATCTGAAGGATCACAGCATCAGAGGAGTCTGTTTATTATATTATTCACATTACTGAATTTCTAGTTAACAGCAGGTCAGTTCTCACCGGTCATATTGTGGAGGAAGTTATAATTCCTGCCCCAGATCCACAGAGCCATGCATCTACAAATGCTCAAGAAAATATCTGAAATACAAATGCACAGTGGTTTCTAAACTTAGTAAATGGTTCCTATATTGTCTTTCTGGTGACTATATTTGGAGATTAATTAATAATTATAAACAATTTCTTTATGCTTTAAAAGTAGGGGGTGGCATTATAATATTGGCATTCAATGATTATGAAAACATGATAATCATGACAAAATAAAATATGATTATTGTGCCACATTTGGTTGCCTTCCTTTACAACTGTAATCTTTTATACCGTCTAAAAATATATCAAAATGAGCGTCTTGGTGTGTTCATGTAAAAACAGTCAGTTATGTGTCAGTTGTTGAGAGAGATTATTAAATCTGTTCATCATGTAAAGTGATCGTGTCTCTTCAGAAAACTCGAATTAAACCATCTAATTCATCTTGGATTTATTAATTTTTTTCTCATGGGTTTGGAACGACATGAGGGTGAGTAAATGATGAGTGAACTGTCCCTTTTTTTGCCATAATCGCACTTTACTGGTTGTCTAAAGCAAAGGTTCTTTCTTGGCTTTTTGTTGCTGATTGGAAGCTTTATTGAATCTAAAGCACTTGTTTTATGCATTAAAAATGACAATATACAAATCAAATACAATGTAAAGACAGTTCAACCTACCGAAAGGCCCCAAACTGAACTGACTCAAATAATTACATACATCCTCAGTGTATTGCTTCATATACAGTTTTGCAGCTTCTTTATCAGCGAGATTCAGTTTTTGTGTTGGAAAAATCAGCTGACTTTTGCCTCCAGCGAGGTCTGTGAAAGAGAGAAACATTACGGAGTTCTTGTGATCTGGTAATTGAAGTTCGCCTATCTTGTTTAATGACATGTTTTTGCATGTTACCTTATACAGTTTTGCGGTTTCATCTATCAGATTAAAGTTCAATAACTTTTTGATTGCCTATTCAGAAACTGAACCTTGAGAATTATCGACAGTAAGTGTTAAGCACTAAACTGGTCTCCTCGATCTGAATTCTAACACACTCTTACCGTTCAGCATTGTTCTGATGGATTGATCAAGAGCAGAAGGATCTTTGACATTTAAAACACAGAGATTCATGTCCACAAGATCCATGAGAACCTGGTACCACTTTTCTACAGGTGGGGAGTTTGGATCTTTTGAAGAAAACACACATTGAACAAACCTGAACACACTGAAAAAATGTCTTAAATGTAAGTGCTTTCCACACCCAAATTCATCATGTTCAGATATCAGGAGTTTTCCACAAGCAAGCATACACACAACATTGTCCAAAAGCCATTTAAGAGGCTTTGATTTGAAGCTAAAATGAATTTGATGACACCTCGTGATCTATTCAGTAACACTGTATGCACACACGTGCATGAGCAGTACATTTGTTACAGTATGTATTCATCTTTGTTAATAGGTCAGTTGACACACAAGATAGAACGTATCAATAAATAAAAGCAGAAATGCTTTACCTTCCTTCATTTCCTCAAACATAATTTCTTTTGTAGGTCTTGAATGTTTAAGGAAATCTGGGGGAAAAAATATATAATCATGGATTCACATGATAATGAAATGAATGTGGGCTTTAGTCAGAACTGTCTTCAAATGCAGCTGCACCTTGTATTTTTCCCCAGATGAATTCTTTACTATCTTCTCCAGCTAAAGCGCTGCCACACAGAGCTGCAGAAAACACGATTACGTTTAAAAGGGTTTACAATAAATAAAACAAAACACAATTTTTAAAGCGAAATGTGTAATATATTAGTCTAAAGCGCAGAGTTATTATTCGACCTCTTAAATTGTTGAGCATAAATGATCTGTACTTTAAATCGTTGTGTAATGAGAAGTATTATGTTGAAAAACAGCAACTCACTCTACGGTTAAAACTGCGTTAAATGATTTTTCACATTTCTAATGGTAATGTTTATATTCATGTTTTGACACATATTAACTTCGGTGATCAGTGTACATTGGTATATTGGAAATATTCATAAACTCTCATGTGACAGAGTTTGTTACCTTGCAGGTACAGCATGTCTATTTCAGCCTGGTGTTTTTTCTTTGAGCCGTTGTCAAACTGGCTGCCGAAGTTGGAGGTCTCCACAAACGCTCCAGAGAGGGAATAACCTGCTTCATGTGGACTGATCTCAAACCAGGGGTCTGCAGACAGAAAACACCTCCATACAACAGCAGACCCAAACACATTAACACTCTTTAATTCTTTCAGACAAACACAGACCTCCTCCCTCCTCCTGTTTGCTTTGCTTGTCAGTCGCTGTGTAGATGGGAAATGGGTCTTTACCGAGTTGGGACCACTTATCTGTCAGAGTGTGTTCATCAATCTGTAGGAAAAACATTTTTAAATGTATATATACACAGGTGCATCTCAAAAAATTTGAATATCGTGAAAAAGTTAATTTTTTCTTGCAACTTATTTCAAAAAGTGAAACTTTCATATATTTTAGATTCATTACATGTAAAGTAAAACATTTCAAAAGTTTTTTTGTTTTAATTTTGTTTAGCGCTTACAGCTCATGAAAGTTAAAATTCCAGTATCTCAAAATATTAGAATATCTACATTTGAGTTTCAATAAATGATCATCCCTACAGAATAAATTCCGGGTATCTCTTGTTCTTTGAAACCACAATAATGAGGTAGTCTACTGACTTGACAGTGGTCCAGAAAACAATCATCGACACCCTCCACAAAGAGGGTAAGTCTCAGAAGCTCATTACTGAAAGAGCAGCTGTTCACAGAGTGCTGTATCAAAGCATATTAAATGCAAAGTTGACTGGAAGGAAGAAATTGAGTAGGATAAGGTGCACAAGCAACAGGGATGACCGCAAGGTTGAGAATACGGTCAAGCAAAGCAGATTCAAACACTTGGGAGAGTTTCACAAGGAGTGGACTGAAGCTGGAGTCAGTGCATTAAGAGTCAGCACGCTCAGACGTCTTCAGGAAAACTTCTGAAACCGAAACCACGTCAGAAGCATCTCACCTGGGCTAAGGAGAAAAATAACTGTACTGTTGCTCAGTGCTCCAAAGTCCTCTTTTCAGATAAAAGTACGTTTTGCACTTCATTTGGAAATCAAGCTCTGGAGTCTGGACGAAGACTGGAGATTTTCCTTTAAGATATTTGTAATGACAGACTAAAAACTTTAGATTGATTAAAACAACTGAGGTTATGCATTTCTCTTGAATACATATAACCAGTGAGTACATGAAACATTATTGTACAAATACATAACCTTGTAAATTCAGCATGATTGATCATATTAATCAATAAAAAGACTTAATTTATATACCATATCTGGCTTTCTTATCAAAACGCGACAAATATTCTTTTGACTTTTTAAATGTCGAACAACTGTTTTGTTGGGGGGGGGGGAAACAAAAAAAGGTTGCGTTTTGATGAGAAAGCCAGATAGTAATGTAATAATGATAATAAAATAATAATGTAATCTGTAGTCTGTTTAATAAAGCTGCATTTAGTGCTCCTATGTGAAAATAAGTTTAGTTTTAGTCTCTTGTTTAGTTTGGTTTACTATTGCCTCAGACAATTATATAGTTCTATATAGAGTTCTTAAAGCGTGTATAGTATCTTTGTCATTTCATAATATCACATGTATATTTATCATTTTTATTTTGTTCTCTGACAGAAACCACATTTTTGTGCATATCCACACAAACCAATAAACATTGAGATCGGACATGTTCACTGCAGTTCTTTCGCACCGAAGAATCAGGCCAGCTGAGTTCCAACCATCCAACTGCGCACAGAATATCCCACACCTACATTATCCCTTAAAATGTTTGTCTGGTTTAAAATTGTTCGTTCGTCTTGCTTCCAAGCCACTTGCTTGCTATGAACGGTTTTGTTTTTTCTCTCAGATGATATCTCAGATGCTACTGTATTTCTACTCACATAAATATTTTGTGATCAGTTGTTTACTTTTGTGGCAGGTAGATGTAACAAGCTGAATATTGTTCATTCAGCCTGTTTAAATCCTAAAATGTTGGGGTAGGGGGGTTTCCCCAGTTAATTAATCTCTTTTGATCAATGTGGTCTCAGACTTTGGACCCCACTGCATGTATGTTTCCTATAACATTCTGAAGAATTTTACAGTAAGTGTTCATATGTTTCTCAAGCTTCTTGGCATCACATGATCAAATTTATTACAAATATCCCTGAATGGGATTACCATAAATCATGCAGGGTAGTGGTATGAATATTTACAGACCTCTTTCATGTATGTTGTGACGACGATCGCTGCCCAGATGTCAGTCAAGCTGAAGAAGTCTTTCCCATTGTAATATTTCTTCAGTTTGGCAAATGCGTCTCCCCAGCTGACTCCTGGTCCACTGAGTCTCTTGATGATATTGTCTTTCACGGTCTCTAGTTTGGTGGACCAGTCTGGTTCTTGGTATAAGGAGGCCATGCACCTTCAGAGAAGAACACACTGCTCTCATTTTTGACATTCAACTCAATTGAATCTCTGTGTGTGTGTTGTTTGTCAGGGTTCGTACCAGGTGGATCCAGAGACTCCGCTCAGATAAAGGATGCAGTCCAGAAGACCTGCTTTATCAAGCTGAACCAGGCATTCCAGCAAACCCACCGTAGCTCTTTGTCCTCCTCCAGAACTTAATAATGCAATGTGTGGCACTTTATTCTGAAATGCACACAGTCTGATTGTGCAAACATGCATTTGTAGGTCATTTCAAGAAAGAATTGCCAGGTAGATAGATAAATGAAGTATAAGGTGTCTGACCTGACTGCAGTGTATCTCGTGTTTCTGCAGGCTTTGAAAAACAATTTCTCTCCTTTTGACTACAAACTCCTCTTCTTTTGTATGTAGAGAGTGTGCGATTCTCACGTCACCGCTGCGTTGGCCACAAAGACAGACAAACAGACAGACCACCCTTACCAAAAAGTAGTATACTTCAAGTTTATTTTAGTAAGTATACTTAAGTAAAGTTCAAGTATACTTTATGTAGTAAGTATACAAATATCAGTGTACTAGTAGTATACTTGTAAGTGTACTATTTCAATACTCCTTGGGACTAAATTGGCCCACTTTCTAGTATATAAAAGTATACTTTTAAGTATAACAATAGTAAACTTTGAGTACACAACTAGTTTACATCAAAATGTTTAGTTTGTACTGCAACTATACTAAAAGTGAACTTAAAGGTATACTGATAGTTTTCTAATTAAATACTTGTAGTAGCATTTTTAGTACACTTTGAAGTATAGTCTCAGTAAACTACTAGTTTAGTAGTTTTATACTGCAAGTATACTCGTAAGTTTTCTTTAAGTGAACTTTACATCATACTTTAAGTATACTACTATGTCCCTATTTAGGTATTAATTTGTATATATTTTGTTACATGAATATCTGAACATACAAAACACCAAAAGAACAGGGTATCTGCTTGTAAACAAATACATTTTATTCTAGCTTCATGCATTCTTTTTTTTTTAAACACGAATGTGGATAAGTTTCATAAATAAAAAAGAAAGAAACAACATTTTGAAGAAAAAGCTGAAAAGACTATGAATTGGATTCAGAATGATAATCAAAACGTAGATAAAGTCGATCAACACCCCAAAGCTTGACAGTCATTATTTCCTCTTCATTGGACGACATTATTCCATAACGTTGCACAGTTTTGATGCCGTTTTATGTCTGATGATCGTGTTAGAATACGTGTGGAAGCATCTGTTGTTTCGGTTTCTTCTTCACTTGTGTTTTTGGGAAATTCTGTACAGAAGATGTGTACTAGCGCCAGCTACAGTATAACAATGAAAACCCGGATTCTAGGAGCACAAGCATAGCTAAAATACATTTAGACTTTTTCTAAGTGTAAGTCAAGTATACTTAAATGTCATTTTAAGTATATTTCTGAGAAGTACATAAAAAGTAGACAAAGTATACTTTCCTATGTTTTAGTTTAAAAGAAGTATACTAATAGCACACTTGAATAAACTTCTTTTTCGTAAGGGCAGTGCTGAATTTAACATCTCATACTACTACGGTGAAAGAGCAAGGTAAAATAAACATTTAATATTGTTTACGTGATTCATGTAATTCATTATTGAATGTGACGAGACAAGAAGTATTTTTCATTTTGAGCTCTCAACATGTAAACAAAACTTAATTTATGCATATTTTAAAAACAGCTCAAATTGATTACTTTACAAAAAACTTTGACTGTTTCTCTTCCTTTTTCTTTATGATCCCAAATCTTTCTTTAAATTATTAGTCCATTACCATTGGGATGTTTTGAATAAAAAGACAGCCCTCCATTCGTGGCCTTGTGCTATTTAATATACCTTTTATTTTACATTGAATACAAGTAACTCTTAAGTTTATTTTGCAGTTGTTCACAAAATGATCCAGTTTGTAACAGACATTAATTGTGTAAATAATGCAGAACAGTGATTATATATAATAAGGAATCGGAGCTGGATTACAAACCTTTCCTGGAGTTTGGATGCACTCATCTGTAAAACAAGAGTCAACATTAAAGTTAAAATAAATTTGAAAATCTTTTGATAAACTCAGGAAAAGTCATTCCTCAAATGTGACCCTGCAGCACTAAAGCAGTGTTAAGTCGCTGGGGGATATTTGTAGCAATAGCCAACAATACATTGTATGGGTCACAATTATACATTTCTCTTTTATGCCAAAAATCATTAGGATATTAAGTAAAGATCATGTTCCATGAAGATATTTAGTATGTTTCCTACCGTAAATATATCAAAACTTAATGTTTGATTAGTAATATGCATTGCTAAGAACTTCATTTGAACAACTTTAAAGATGATTTTCTCAATATTTAGATTTTTTTGCATCCTCAGATTCCAGATTTTCTAATAGTTGTATCTCAGCCAAATATTGTCCGATCCTAACAAACCATACATCAATGGAAAGCTATTATTTATTCAGCTTTCAGATGATGTATACATCTCAATTTTGAAAAATTGTCCCTTATGACTGGTTTTGTGCTCCAGGGTCAGAAATGTCAATTATTAGCCACAGTGTACATAGTCTTTAGTTTGCAGGTCATTGGTATTGGCCAAGTTTTAGTTAGAGTTCAGTTCATTCATACTATTATTGTCACTATAAATAATGACATTACGTGTTTTTAATTGCCTGTTGTAAAAGTTAACACACATACTCACTGCTCTTGATTAGTCTGGTAAAATCCTGAGATTCACAAACAACAACTCCGCTGCTGTTTTCTCTCGGATCAGGCAGAAGATGCTCTTTTATCGGCTCTGGATCATTAGGAGGGGTGGAGATGATTAACATGGACTTCAGACAACAGAAAAAAAAAAGCTTGGTGTGGTGACTTATAGTATGGTATAGTATAGAATATATATATAGTATGCATGTATGTATGAAGAGTTCATTTGCAAAAACAGATGACTCCATTTTTAACAATTTGCAAAAACCAAGTGTTTTCATTGCATTCAAATTAATCTCAATCAAACTGCAGTTGGGTTATTTTGATTAGGTTAAAAAATAACTAAAAAATACAGCCAACTAACACAATACAAACATAACATAATAAAAAAAACATGATTTTTGAAAAATCATGTTCTCTTGTTATCATTTTAAAATTATATATATAAAAAATTGCATGAAATAAAATGTTGGAATTCAAATGTTGACTGAAATATAATTTAATATTTTTAAAAGTATGATTCTCATTTCTTTTATAACTTATTCTATTTCAGCTGGTTCAAAGTCAACATTTTAATTTAGTCTATATGTCTTTGAAATTTCTCATTTTAATTTAGTTTAACTGGATGTACCAAAACACCAAATTAAAACTGAAAAAAAAATAAAAAAAGTGTGCCTTTATTAGTGCCTAATAAAAATGAAAAAAAATGACAAGACCCCATGCACAATTCCCAAAAGTTTAACTAAACTTAAAATGGAATATAACAATTTAAAATGGTTAAAACAATCATATCTCAATGATGTGTAACACATTTTGTTGCATCTAGCAACATTCTGTAACATCCAGCTTTTGATATCTTTGTACTTATTTGCTACAAATTAAAGTTCATAAATGTTTGTTTAAAACGTGTTAATTCTTTTGTCTTGTTTCCTTTAGTAAGATATATAGTGTTTATACAGAGTCAGCATAAATGGGTGCATCCCCACAAATCCAAAATATTCTTCTTTTTTTTAATGATCATTAATGCAATTCACGGAAAGATGGCAAGTTGTTATTTGTTAGACATTCTACAAATGCAGAAAAATGTATAAAAAGACATTGTATCTGTAAAATACTTAAATCAGCCAATTTAGTTTAAACCTATTTAAACTCCCTGGATTTTAATGGGGATTGTTGCGCAACTTGTCTCTACAAAATCCCCCAAACTCAAGAGGCTGGGTGAAATACTTGAAAATACTTTCACCTTTGGTAGAATGAATATAGTAATTGTCATGTTGAAACAACATCCAGCAATGCAGGGAATGAAGAGAGAGTGGCATTTTCTGACAGTTTAAGGCAATAACTTGTAAACAAAAGCAAGGCACTTGTCGGTAAAATCAAACAACACTACTCTACTACACACAACTAATCTAAACACACACACACACAACTTCAGAGGATACATAAAACATACATATAAAACTCAAACATAGAGATAGTATGGCTTACTGGTATCACTGTAAAGACAGGGCTATATATACCAAACAAAAGAGTCACATGACAAGAACCAACCAATGAGAAACAAGACACATGACTAAGTCAACCAATGAGGATGAACCAAGTAACCAACCAGAACATAACACACAAGGCTTGTTCGACTTCATGCGGCGCCGCAAAGATCGGCTGCCGCTTGACAAAAGCAATGCATTCTGGTTAGAAAATGTTTCTGACTTTAATCGACGCTGCTGCAAAGCCACTAGAAGGCAAGCCTGCAACCGTTAGCCATTAGTTCACTGACAAGCTACACAAAATCGCAGGCGATTCATACGAACTACGCAGTCAGTGAACCACGGCTCTGTAGTAAATGCCGCTCCATCTGAACGCACGTGATGGAGATTTACTACTAATCACAGGAGCGGCTTTACTGACGAGATGTGCATGACAATCGCATTCGATTTTTTGCACAGCCCTAGCTAAAGCTAACGCTTCCGGTCTGGCAGTACGAGGGAAAGGAGTCCAGAGGCCGGTTTTTTTTTTATGGATGTCAACGGAGGAGAGGCTTCACTACGCTGAATAAACAGCTTTTTAGAGGAAACGGCGTATTATTAAATGAATCGACAGCCTATCTGCTAATCTTCAACATGTTTTACACTAAATAATACTTTTGGATGTAACTGTTTTATAAGAGAAGTCCCTGACGTTTTGCGACAGGTGTGATTCGGCTTACGGCACTTCTCATGCATTCCTATGGGATCCGTAAACGGCGATTGAGTGTCGCACAACTCTGACTGAAATTCAATGACGTCAAGGCTGTAATGTGATTGGTTATTAAAGGGCACGTGGATCAAAGTTAGCCGTTACGCTTTCTCCAATAGTACGTAATACAGACCCTCTCATCTCCCTATAGTAAGACAATAGGCTTGTTTGAGATGAGCAGAATCTGCGCAGAACCGATGACCGGTGACCGAGTTATGTCCGACTTGCTCTGATGTGTGGCAAAAAACTCTAGCGACGGCGAGGCGGCTGTGTCAGATTGTGCAGTTGCTCTCCACCGACTAGATGGCCAACAGGATCGTGGACTCGGCCAGGAGCATCCTGAACAAATTCATCCCGGATATTTACATCTACACCGACCACATGAAGGGCGCCAGCTCTGGGAAGTGAGTCACTGCAGGCTGATGACTTAAAGCTGAACTGATTGTCTATAATTAAGGGATTTTTATGTGTGGGGTTTAGTTGTGAAGCAACTTCAATGACCGAGCAAACTCCCCAGTAATGGCTCGGACGCCACACTAATCTCGTGCTAGTAAGCAGCGAGTAAGAGGTTATGGTGAAGTGACTAATACACTGTGTGTTGTGTGCAGGTCTCCAGGGTTCGGTCTGACGCTGGTGGCTGAGACGGTGAACGGCACGTTTCTGGGCGCTGAGGTCGTGTCCACACCGCAGGGTCAGGGAGATCCAGTGCTGCCGGAGGACTTGGGCAGAAACTGTGCCAAACTACTGCTGGAGGAGGTCTATAGGGTGAGCAGAACCAAACACACACTTGGTTTCCATAATTTATGGTGACTCTCTATAGGCGTAATTGTTTTCATATGATCCAGTCTGTATTTTCTATCCTCTACACCAGGGGTTTTCAAGCTTTTAGGACATGCGCCCCCCCCCCAAGTTGGTCTAATTTCACTCGTGCCCCCCCCAACGGAAAACCGCGGACTTGGCAACACTGAGCATGACTGATACTCGAGCCAACTCTGCTCTAACTGTCGACTAGCTGTGGGAGTCAGATCGCCCCCTAGTGGATGGCTAAAGATTTGTTAACTCGTATTCATAAATTCTCAAGAGAAGTCTCTGAATTAACTGATGCACCCTTCTTGACAGGTGCCGGCGCCCCCCTGGGGTTGAAAACCCCTGCTCTACACTACCCCTCACTCAAAACTACAGGCATTTTTAGATTCTCAAAAAATATATTTTGTATTATTTAAAAGCTGTTTTCATTCAATCAATGAACATTTATTGGCCAAGTATGCATACCATACAAGGTCGTTTTCTGGCAGTATGAGGCATCCCAAACATAAAAAACCCACTTACAATATTACACGAGAGAGAACACAAAAAAAAAAATGGGGGACCAAAAATGCAAACAAATGTCAAGGTATACTAGGCAGGAACACACATTCACACACCTTTTTAAACAAACACACACACAGCTCAAACACACACACACACACACCTCAAACAAACACACACACACACACAGCTCAAACACACACAGCTCACACACACACACGCACCTCAAACAAACACACACACAGCTCAAACACACACACACCTCAAACAAACACACACACACCTCAAACAAACACACACACACCTCAAACACACACAGCTCACACACACACACGCACCTCAAACAAACACCCACACAGCTCAAACACACACACACACACACCTCAAACAAACACACACACAGCTCAAACACACACAGCTCACACACACACACGCACCTCAAACAAACACACACACAGCTCAAACACACACACACCTCAAACAAACACACACACAACTCAAACACACACACACACATGCATTCATACACATTTTAAACAAACACACACACTCACACAACTTTCAAATAAACACACACACATACACACTCAAACACACACACACACATTAAATAAATATTTGTATTAAAAAAAAAAACTTTTTTATGAAAACTAACATATTTACTGAAGTAAATAAAAGAACAACAAATTAGTCTTTTTTTGTAAAGTGTGACCAGATATTTGAATGTTGATTAATTTTAATTAAACTGAAGTTTGTAAGTCCTGCATCATTAGCGGTGTCACTAGAGTTTTTGTTTGAATGGCAGACAGAGACATGACATCATTAATTCAACCAATGGGTTGATTTGGGGGCGGGGCTACTTGTTTGTTTGACCAATGACAGATGAAGGGGGTGTTTTAAACTTTAACAAAGTTCTACGGTCTGATCATTACTCTGAAAAGTGTTTGTCTGCTCACATTTTCTATTGGATAGAAAGAGTCTTAATCGAAGCGCGGTTTGGCTTGTTTACACTGTCCTGGTGCAGAGGCATGCTGGGAAATAGATGCTTGTCTGTCACATCTCATTATGAGAGGTCTGAGGTTGTTGTATGAGAAAGTTTGTGTTTGTGATTGAGAACGAGTGAGGCCGCAGCGATTAGATCCGCTCTGCTAAAGGGGATTACAGCCGTCTAACCGTAATCCACTGTAACTCACTGTACAGACACCAGATAAACACTCAGCATACGCTCCCTTCATAGTGTGCACACGGGTCTCTCTCGCTGTGAGGCATGTGACGTGAGTTAAAATGGGCTGATTCTGTGTTCTGGGTGGCAGGGGTGTTATAGGGTGTCTTTTTAGGGCTGTTAATATTTGAAGGCGCTGGCTGATTGCACACAACAGCCACTGCGTGCATGCATGCATGTGTGTGTGTGTGTGTTTGGTGTGTGTGTGTGTGTGTGTGTGTGTGTGTGTGTGTGTGTGTGTGTGTGTGTGTGTGTGTGTGTGTGTGTGTGTGTTTGTGTTGAGGTTAATCAGTAGCTGGTGGTCGGTCTCTGTAGTAAACAGCTCCTGAATGCAGACTAGTTCTGATTGTGCTGCAGTTGGATGAACTGGGAAAACATGATGTGAGTTTATGCTCTCTCTTTACGAATTCAAAAATGTAGATTTATTTAGTTTTTAAATGGAAAAAGAGGTTTAATTACCATCTGCATGTTCAGCGTGTTTTGTTTTTTATGCACTTCAGTGAATGCATTTTTAAAACATTCAGTACTGTGCTAATATTAAGGGGAAATTATTTTAATATATTATATTCATTAAGAAAACCTTGTTTATGTCATGTCACTGCTAGGCTTGTTTTACGCTTATTTCTTTCTTTGGTAATTATGTTTGTATTTTATATTATTACGGAAAACATGATGTGAGTTTATGCTCTCTCTTTACGAATTCAAAAAGGTAGATTTATTTAGTTTTTAAATGGAAAAAGAGGTTTAATTACCATCTGCATGTTCAGCGTGTTTTGTTTTTTATGCACTTCAGTGAATGCATTTTTAAAACATTCAGTACTGTGCTAATATTAAGGGGAAATTATTTTAATATATTATATTCATTAAGAAAACCTTGTTTGTTATGTCACTGCTAGGCTTGTTTTACGCTTATTTCTTTCTTTGGTAATTATGTTTGTATTTTATATTATTAGTAGTTTATTTTGTATATTTATATTTTTTTATTACTATTTTATATAATTTTATTTACATTTTAATTTCTTTGATTTTGCACATGAAATGCATAACTAAGTAGTTTGTTATTAGTAGGGCTGTCACGAGAACTATTTTTTGTTGTGCGATCTATTTTGTATATTTATATTTTTTTATTACTATTTTATATAATTTTATTTACATTTTAATTTCTTTGATTTTGCACATGAAATGCATAACTAAGTAGTTTGTTATTAGTAGGGCTGTCACGAGAACTACTTTTTGTTGTGCGATCTATTGCACCAAAATTAATTGCGATATGATATTATTGAACAGCTCCTGAATGCAGACTAGTTCTGATTGTGCTGCAGTTGGATGAACTGGGAAAACATGATGTGAGTTTATGCTCTCTCTTTACGAATTCAAAAAGGTAGATTTATTTAGTTTTTAAATGGAAAAAGAGGTTTAATTACCATCTGCATGTTCAGCGTGTTTTGTTTTTTATGCACTTCAGTGAATGCATTTTTAAAACATTCAGTACTGTGCTAATATTAAGGGGAAATTATTTTAATATATTATATTCATTAAGAAAACCTTGTTTGTTATGTCACTGCTAGGCTTGTTTTACGCTTATTTCTTTCTTTGGTAATTATGTTTGTATTTTATATTATTAGTAGTTTATTTTGTATATTTATATTTTTTTATTACTATTTTATATAATTTTATTTACATTTTAATTTCTTTGATTTTGCACATGAAATGCATAACTAAGTAGTTTGTTATTAGTAGGGCTGTCACGAGAACTATTTTTTGTTGTGCGATCTATTGCACCAAAATTAATTGCGATAAATGATATTATTGCCATTTTAAGACCATTTTATGCCACTGATTAATGACAGTAGGACAATATAATAGCATAACAATGCAAGTACACTCTTTCAAATAACAAAAATGTGTATATAAGATAAAGAATATTTAGACATTGGAATCGGAATGTGAAAAAAGATATCCTAAATAAATAAAAATAATTAATAATAAATTAGGGATGCAATGATACCATTTTTTTTAGAACCAATCCGATCCGATACTGAAAATTCTGAGTATCGGTCAATACAGATACCGATCCGATACCAGCACATTTATTTTAAATCAATGTAGAGTTAATGTACTTCTGTGTGTTGACCTGATCGTCACTTCTTTTGTGTGTTAAACACAATCTACTAAATATAGACAACTTAATTTGAATACAAAATAACAAATAAAAAATATATATAATCGTAATCTATGAAAATAATACTATTATAAACTAGGTTAGGTTATTCTAGAAAAATCAATTGTAAACATTTACTGAAATGACATTAGTGGGGAACAAATAAAAGTGAATAAGTGTAGGACTAAATCTGGTAAAATGTTACACATTGCTCTTTGTACTATAGTAAAATACATTCATGAAAAACCAGTAAATATATTTATATAGAAACGCTATATAGCCTACTATAAACTTTCTTTTAAATGTACAGCAGTAATGAGACAGCAACATATGATAGATAGGAGTCATATCTATCATAAGTTGCTGCCTCCATTACTGTGCTATACATTAAATTATTTATAGCTTTCTTGTTCTGTCCTATCATGCGCAAAAGTGTTATAATATAGCATCCCGTGCGCAGAATGATGCGCTTGAAGCAACACGGAGTCCGCTATAAATAATCTTTCATTGTGCAAAGTATTATAGCTTTCTTGTTCTGCCAATTCATGCGCAAAAGTGTTATAATATAGCATCCCGTGCGCAGAATGATGCGCTTGAAGCAACACGGAGTCACAGCGCGCAGCTCTCCACGAAGAAAAGTTCAAAGCAGAAAAAGAAGAGCTATTGATGCGTAGTGTATTAAATCTGCTCTGTAGTGTATTGAGTTTTAAACTTAATTTACTGTGCGCTCTCGGAGAGCGTTTCATCGTTTTGACTGTCGTAACCGAACACGACACGCAGCATGAATGCTACTTAATTTACTGTGCGCTCTCGGAGAGCGTTTCATCGTTTTGACTGTCGTAACCGAACGCGACACGCAGCATGAATGCTGTCCGCTCTGTGTGTGTGTGTGTGTGTGTGTGTGTGAGAGTGTGTGTGTGTGTGTGTGTGAGAGTGTGTGAGTGTGTGTGTGAGTGTGTGTGTGAGTGTGTGTGTGAGTGTGTGTGTGTGTGTGAGTGTGTGTGTGTGTGTGAGAGTGTGTGTGTGTGTGTGTGTGTGTGTCTGTGAGAGTGTGTGTGTGTGTGTGTGTGAGTGTGAGTGTGTGTGTGTGAGAGTGTGAGTGTGAGTGTGTGTGTGAGTGTGAGTGTGTGTGTG